TCTGAAACAATCATCATTGGAATATTTTGAGTTACAGCACCAACAAACTGAACCACATTAGGATGTCTTACTTTCTCTAGCATCATTAGTTCATGTTTGAAAGCATTTCTGTATACAAAGACAGGGAATTAAAGAAACACGTCAGACATTAAAAATTAGAATTTGTAAAGAACAAGAGATAAATCTCTCAGTAGTCACTACTAAACAACTTAGTTGTAGACTAATAATTTCTGAAACAGCAAATACAATTTTCCATTTCAGTGGCAACAGTTTTTTTAACATTTAAGCACTGCTGAATGCATACATGCTTTCAGGGTCTGAATAGCAATCCTTGTCGAGAATCTTCACAGAAACCTTTGTGCCATTCCATTTAGCAACTTGATATGATCCCTGCTCAATGCAAATCAATAATGTTATCTAATCCAGAAAGCATTAACTTACATGCAGAGATTCATTCGGGAGGAAAGAGTAAAAATAGTTAAATACTTAGTTGTCTTTTCAAACACTGAGAAACAAATATAAATGCAGGAATATATGGCCATACAGATTAGGGTAATTATTGCCACTATATCAATAGATATATATATTTATTTATCATGGACGAGTTATAATTACATCAAATAGCATCAGATTCTAGTGATAAATACAGCCTATTCTTTTTTAATACATCAGACAGGTGATAACTACATCAGATAGCATCAGTAACTAGTGATAATGCCAGAGACTGCCTACCATGGGCGACAGAACTGAACAGAATAATCCAATAAATTGAAATTCTTGATTAACTTATGTCCCATTTGGGACCAAAATTTGCATGTTAGGTTGATGTATAATAGAGTAAAATTGCAGAATTGTTATGTTTTCAAGAAAATATAAATTGAGATAATATAGATCTTGCCTTGATACCATCACTTCTGCGAATTTGAAGCTCCAGAGGATTGAGCTCATACTCTGGAACTTCCCGGGGATTAGCAACAGCCATTGGCGTCTTTCTGATTTTCTAGCAATTTGGCAGACTCCAATAAGTGCCAAAAATTAAATAAATGCTCAAATGTAAAGTTTGAAATTGGTCCACTTACTGGAACTTTGGCCCCACGGGACTTCAATATATTATAAACTTCAGAATTTCCATAGTACTTGGCATCAGCTGCTGCCTGTAATAATGCACGAAGAGTAGAAGATTCATAGTTTGAGCCTTTGAGGCAATTAACAATAACTACACATGATCAATTCAAGTAAAATCCTGAAGCAGAGTAAAGGTCCTTTGTTTTTCGGTGCTTTTTGTAAGGTTTTATAAGGCATTGAAAACTGTAGATAAAATATGAAGAAGTGGTCATGTCTTTTAGGAAAACGTTGAAATAGTAGCAAAAAAATAGAAAGTGGAGCCTATAATCAAATTCTACTAAAGGGGGTGGACTAACTTCACATAATCCCGCCAAATAATAATAAAAATAGAGTCGGTAGAAGCCAGCTTTACCGTGCTCCCCCATCGATCACGAGCATCAATATTCGCCTTCCGGATGAGCAGAAGCTTCACCACCTCCACATGCCCCTCGCAAGCCGCGATGTGCAGAGCTGTTCGGCCATCCAGATCGATGCTATTGACATCAATTCCTTCGTCTAGCAATTCCTTGACTCCCTCGACGTCCCCCTGGCAAGACATGAAGAGCAGCTGCATGGTGGAGTCGAGGTTCTCCGGCACCGTGAGCAATTCGGCATCATCGGAGGCACCCCGCCGTATCGGATCTAGCGACGACTGCCTGCCGAAGCTGAAACGCATAGTATTTCGGCGAGGGTCAAGCGAGTTCTGTCGCCTGAAGCTGAACCTGCCGCTCTTCTTCATCGACCCGGTAGAGAACTGCCGCGATATTCCCCGTTTCAACTGCGCTGTCACGTCCATTTCGCTACCTTCCCTCACAATCGCATAAACACAATCTCCACCAAATACAAAAACTCAAAGGGCAATCAAATTGCTTCTTCCTTTGAAAAAACAGAAGAAGAAGCACAAATTTTTTTACAATCAAAAGCTCGATCGAGAGCTATGAGAGAGAGCTCTCGATGGCGAGCAATGAGAGGGGAAGAGATGAAATTGGGGAGAGATGGAGATGTAACGTATTCTTCCACAGAGTTGCCCGGAAAAAGCGTTACAGCTAGGATGCTAAATTAATTAAAGTGTTCATTCTGGTTCGTTGCTTTTAATTTGATTTACAGGTGGTTATTTCAGTTGAGAATTTTTCCAACTATTAGGTTGATTGCACCACTGGGGTGAAAAAGCTATCTTTTTCATGGATGATACATATTATCATCCCTGCAGACAATTAAATCATTTTTATAATTAAAATTTACATATTTGAAAAATACATAGTTCCATAAATTCTCAAAGTTCAATTTATACTATAATAAAAAATTGATTTGTTGGATAAGTAAATAAAATGGAACTATATTGATCAATAAAATTTGATTTTGCAAATTATTTTGGGAGAGGGAATAGGAAAATTACACTCGATGGTTTACATGCTTAACTAATACGAGTAAGTAATAGCAATAAGAATAATTCTTTAATAACAATATGTCTAAGAAATGATGTACGGACTGAGTTAGAATTGGAGGCTAATGTCTGAAATAGGGACTGTTGTCTGAACAACCGACGATTGTCTGGAGCTGAACTTTGAAGTGCTGAATCTGATTGTTAGCTGTATGGAGTAGACCCGTTTGGCAAAAAGAACTGAAAAAGTGCTGGAATAATATGAAATTACTTTAAAGGACAAATGATTTATTAATAGATAAAATATTTATTAATACGATTTTGTATCTACATCCTTTTAATATATGTATGCGTGTGTATACATATGTGATGAATTTAAAATACTTCGTATGATATAATTTAAAGTCATTGATTAAATTTAAAAGGCAAAATTGATAAGATTAATCCCTACTTTCACCAATTAAACAAAAATAATCCCTACTTTAAACTTTTACATAAATAATCCAAACTTACCATGAGGGCCACACAAATATAATAAACGAGACGGAGAGCTCATTTACTTTAACACCGTTTAACCCTTGTATTCATTACCTCTCTTCTCCATCTGTATTTCTCTGTATCTTGCGGCCTTCTCCATCAAAGCAGAGGGCGTAAATCAAAGCGGACATATATGAGTTGAAGTCGCAGAAAATTGCTACCGAAGATTTCAGCACTGGAAATAGCTGTAAGTTATTTGTTTCTAATTAACGGATATGTGTAGATGGTTGCAAGTTTTTGCTTTATAGATTTTTAGAGGTAACGATTAGAAGTTTTTATGGTTCCGGTGATTAATGGTTGCAAGTTTCTTGTATTGTAATTACTGGATATGTGTAACAAACTTGCAACCATCTACAAACAATCGCTATTGTATCTGCAAAGTTGAAAGCTTTTTATTGCTAGCAACCTCTAGAGAATTACTTTCAACGCATCGTTTGTTTGTTAACATTATTTTGAATATCAGAAATAGGAGCTTAGAGATGAAGTAATAAAGAGCTTTAGGGCTAAATTTAGCAGAGGTTTCATAAGAGTAATTCCTTGTAAATATAGAAGTAATAAAGACAAACTAGTTTTTCACATATTACCAAAAACATTCTGGTCCACATGATTAGGTTTGAGAGTATTTTGAAAATTAAGTTACTGCATATTGAGTGCTAAGTTTAGTAATTGCATTTTGTGAGTGCTAATGTGATATAGAACTATTTACTAAAAATATTACCAATTCAATAACAACAAATGGTATTTGTTTACAGGAATGGCTTCTATAAAGTTGAACTATCATCATGGAGGGGTGTTACTGAAAACACCAGAACCAAAGTATATTGGAGGGAAGGAAGAACTTATATCTAATATAGACCCGGATAAGTTAGACTTCTGGTGGTTATTTGATTTGCCTAAAGAGATAGGCATAGATGCTGAAATTGAGGAGTTGTATTACCTTGTCCCTGGACAATCATTAAGTACAGGTTTGTATCAAATAACCAGTGACAATGAGGTTGCTGAAATAGGAAGACTAGGCATGGAAGTAAACATGGTTGACTTGTATATTGTCCATAAGGATGCGCCAACTTCATGCACTAGTGACGCTATTTTTCCTGGAGGGGGAGATGATAACTCTGGAGAAAAACAAATTTGTATGCATGATGAAGAGCAGGAGGACATTCTACAACATTTCATTGAATCAGTTGATGGAGAAGAAGATCATTCCAGTGATGAAGAATGGATAGAAGCTCTACTACTAGTGCCATGGAAAATGGAATATGAAGACACTATATGATCAAGTTTTTGTCTATTTGTGTGGACCTTTTTTTGTGTGGCTGGTGTTCAAGTCCTGGATAACTTTTCTTGTCTAGTGCAACATACATTTGGATATGTAATTTTTATTTTTTTTTTGTAGCCAGACATGGTGTTTCTGGGTTATAACTTTCTGCATTGATGATACTAAAATGTGTACTTTTTTGTCTAATGATGCAGATTTTTTGACTGTCATTTTGTATCATAATCTTTGTTTTAAGTAATGTTGAAGCACAATAGGGTGTGGCTAATGCTACAGATTTCTGAATCTTATACTGTCAAAAATGCAACCTAATTATGAAGCTTTGGCAGTATCATGTGTTAGTTTGATGCAATGTGTTAATTGAGAAACAAAAGCATGTGCTAGTTCCATATGATAACTTGCCAGAAGCTCATCAAGCTTCCAAATAAATGACATATGTTTGCTGCTGTCAAGCTTGCAAAAAATGGCAGTAGGAATTATGAGCTCTTATCAATGATGTTTGCTTCCATCAAGTTTGTGACATTATAAGAACATGTTTGCTGCCAAATACTCAGGTTTGTGTCATTACAAGGAAACTCTTAATCGTGTGTGAGGAAGAATTATGAGCTCCTGCCAATGTGTATGACTCAATCTTGTCTCAGTCAACATGGAATACATTAAAATTTCAGGCCGATTTTGTAGTCTATTGTCACTCAATCATGAACACTTTACCAAGATTCCAAAACAGAATAATGAAATTCAACTTCCAAGTTCATTCCAGTACAATCAAAACTAATTTACATTTTATAATAAATAAAAAAAGTACCTCCATACACAAAGTATGATAGTACATTACAAAATCACTAATTAAGTAATACATGTTTCTTTCATAGCTATATCCTACCAATCCAAATAGATAAAATTACTCCTATTGAGAATCAGGTTAAAAGAATACAATAAATAACATTCTATTCTGCACTTGATTCTCTTTTAGCTTCTCCTTTGTATTGATGTTTCTTCATCCTAAGCTTTTCAATTTGGTCCAACAACAATTTCTTCTCAGCCTGAACTTTCTCTAGCTCATTCTTTAGATGTTCATTCACCTTCACAATTAAATACTTGTCTGTATCTGAATTTGTTGGTGTCATCGTTACCACTCTGCAAAGTTAAAACAACAAGTTCAAGCAACAATTCGAATATAATTACACTTATTGTTAGTTTCAGATAAACTGATTTTTTAAGATAATATATAATTCTACCAAAAAATATATGACTTCTAAAATTCAAAAGTAACCAGATTATGGTATTTCATAACTACAAAATTCTATTTTTTTTACCTTTAATAAGGGACAACCATAAAATCTCTTTCCCTTATTATTATGAAAGAGATAATGACTTTGGATTACTTGAACGGTGGAGAAAGATGGATAACGGGCAATTATACAAAGAGTTACTCAAGCATTTTAACAAACAGTATGTTTGCATCACATATGCATTTCTATCCATATGTAAGGTACAGAGATATCTCATCCCAGTCAAGTACATTAACAAAATCACAACAAGTGCATACGTGAATCAACAATATTACGGCAAGTAAATCAAAGTGCAAGTCCACATGTAATCCGTATCTATCTTAGTAAACTAAATCAACAATATTACAGAGAGAAAAGAGGAGGGGGAGAAGAGTAGAGGAGAAGAGGGGTAGGAGAGGAAGATAGAAACCTGATGCTGCGGAAGAATACAGCTGGAGGAAAAGTGCTGCTGCAGATTAATTGAGAAGCTGGCGGCCGAAGTAATTTGAACCAAACTTGGACGGTTCTTTGGACGGAAGTATATGTCCGTCTCATTTATTCTACTTCTGACACAGAGATAATGGGTTTGGATTACTTATGTAAAATTATAAAGTAGGGATTATTTTTGTTTAATTAGTGAAAGTATGGATTATTCATATCAATTTCCCCAATTTAAAAATGTGAAATTTGACACCTCATTGATTAATTAAAACTAAAAATATGAGAGTTTACTCCCACGTGTCATTAGTATAGTAATTTAATTTTCAGTATAGGATAGCACCACCAGAGAAAGTGACACCCATACTGCCATGCGTATAGTTCTAGCTAATGTAAAATAATTGGAGATCAATAAGCCTGCGCTAACCGGGAATATGGAGAAGAATTATTGGGAGGAAAGATTATACGCAGTATATGACATTGGGGATATAATGGGAATAGAAAGTCTGGAAACGGCAGACTGAACCTAAACGTTACCATGTTCAACGTTTCAACTCAGGCAATATTTTCCAGCTTAAGCCCTTTTCAGACCCTTAAACAAACAGGGCTACATAAATTAAAGTTGATTGAATTTAGAAAGCATGGTCCCATCCAAATTTAGAAGCAACAGCAGCTTGGACGTATGGAAAGAAAAGCATGGTCCCATCCACAGTGGCGGATCTAGGCATCGGAGGTCAGTGTATGCACATATACAGTGGCAGATCCAGAAGTTTTCTAAAGTAGGGGCACTACCGCATGGATGAGAACGGGTCGGGTCGGGTCGTATGCATCTTTGGCCTATTTTGTCTAGTCCGTACAAATTATATTTTTAAACTAGAAATAGAGTATTCAATTTTTCATCGATGATACATATTATCATCCCTGCAGACAATTAAATCATTTTTATAATTAAAATTTACATATTTGAAAAATACATAGTTCCATAAAGTCTCAAAGTTCAATTTATACTATAATAAAAAATTGATTTGTTGGATAAGTAAATAAAATGGAACTATATTGATCAATAAAATTTGATTTTGCAAATTATTTTGGGAGAGGGAATAGGAAAATTACACTCGATGGTTTACATGCTTAACTAATACGAGTAAGTAATAGCAATAAGAATAATTCTTTAATAACAATATGTCTAAGTAATGCACTTCAAAAAATCAAACCAAGGGTGTAGCCTAGGAAAGTCTCGAACACCCGACGTGAAGCCCATAAAGAGTTTTGGAATTATTGCTGTTGCCAAGTAAACTAGTAGTAATTATTGAGGTGAAGCCCGTGCTTACCCTAGTTAACACATAGGTCCGCCCCTGCCCATCCAAATTTATAATCTCAATTTTATTTGCTAAAGGATCAAATAGCTCCTTGAACTGATTTAAAGTGTTCAATTAGCCCCTTATATAAGGTGTTCTGCCCGGTCGTCGCTAATTGAGGTGATTCCCGGTAGAATTTTTTGATGAAATTTTTTGAGCATCTTCTTCATTAAATCTAGTTACCCATACCAATTTTCCGAAATGTACTGCGCTATTTATCTTCGCAGTTATCTTCAAAAAATCATTTGACTGTCTACCCGGTTGAATTTTTAGCTGAAATTTGGTATGAGTAAACTAGACTTAATGAAGAAGATGCTCAAAAAATTTCATCACAAAATTCCATCGGGAACTGTCCCAATTGGCGACGGCCGGGCAGAAGCTCCTATATAAGAGGCTAATTGAACACTTTAAGTCAGTTCAAGGGCCTATTTGACCCTATAGCCCCTATATAAGGGGCTAACTTTTTTATTTGTATTCCAAGTTTTATAAAAAGTATATTAAAATTCATAATTTTTTATAATATTTTATATGACACCAATATTGGATATATAAAATTTAAAAAAAATGATGTTTCAACTGTTCTAGATTTTTAGATCTAAACTTTTTCTTGAATAGTTTCAAATATTAAAATTAAAATCTCATGGTCCGGTTAAAATATTTTTTTTACAACTTTCTATTATTTTTCTTTAAAAAATAGGTCTAAATTAACCATTAAAAAACTAAAGCCCAAATTTATTTATTTTTTTACATCAAAATGTTTGATTTTTCAAATCATAATTATTCACAATAAAAAAATTGAATAAAATCTTGACGTGTAACAATAAAATTAAGGAAATATTTGAAAATAACTTTGTTGTGTGAACATATTGACGGTGCTGGGTTGCAGTACAAATTGAATTGACTGAGTGAATACGTATAAAGTGATGATAAATTTGATTTATTGACGGAGATGAGTTGCGGTTAGCCTTAGGGCGCGTTTGCTCATTGAGACCCTCAAAATCATAAGAAGATCGAATTGCAATAAAATTCAGCTTATCCATGGAAATGCTAGAAAAAGACATTAGAGATAAACTTTTGGAGAGATTAAGATCCCGTTTGGTAGCATCAAAATCGGCTGTTTCGGCTGATTCTGCTGAAATTTATGAAGTTCTGTCTGAAGTGGCTGCATTGACTGATTCTGATGATTTACGAAAAAATTATTTTTAAAATATATTTTATTAATAAAGTAAAGAAAAAATTATATGTAAAAATAGCTAAAATAGTCATCTAGAGTAACTTCAGCCAATACAGCCAGAAAAGTAACTCCAACCTTACTTTTTCTGTTTACTACACAATTCAGCACGCACAAGCAAAAATTAAGTGTTTGGTGAAAAAGTTGGCCGATAAATCTGATAAGCCGAAAAACAGTGTTGGCAAACGGCCTCCAACTTTTGGACAAATAAATCGTGGAATTATGATAAATATATTAATGAGTAAAGTAATTCATACTAAGTACTCCGTATGGCATTTTACTCATAATAAATGTGACTCAAAAGTGGCTGCACAAAATCAAAATATGCCAGTTTATTCACGACATAATAAACAAAATAGTTTTGTCATCCTAGACAAAAAAGATACAAATAATTTTGATATTTATTCTAGGGAAAACTATCAAATAAGCTCCGTAGCTTTTCAAAAAAATCAATTAAACCGAAAAATCCAACCAATCAAACCCTTTACAATAAAAGAAAAGAGCAAAATCCTCCTTTTAACCAGTACTCTTTTAACTTTCCTCTTCTTCTCTACGCCTAGCACCTGCAACTTGACTTTTCTTCCTTTCTTTCTTTCCCCTTTCTCTTCTGCTTCCTAGTTCTCTTCTCATTTTGCCCGGCCTCACTTCACCCTACTCGCTGGTGTTTGCTTCCTGTGCCTATTCCTCTGCATTGCCGCCGACTAGGGTCTACAGCAACCATGGGAGGGAGGAGCCCATGGTTGCTGGTACTGACGGACAAGCCCTTTTCAACCTATAAAGGATAAGGAGCCTTCGGCCGGAGTTGCTGGAGGATAAGGAATGACCTGGCCTGGTCGCTACTTTCCGGCGAGAGCGGTAACGGCGTCAGAGATTCACTAAACAGTTCCCAGAGCTGAAAACCGGTGGATGAGGCGAAGAATAGAAGGCTCTTCTTAAACGGGAAGGGAGATTGAAATTGGTGGTAACATGGGAGAAGAAAGAGTGTGTGGAACAAAGAAGATGAAAGAAGGCCGAAGCGGGTAGTTTGCTGGAACTGGAAGGGGAAGGTGAAAGAGAAAACAAAAAAGAAAGAAAAAGGAAAACAAATAAAGAAAGAAAAATGAAAAAAATAGAAAAAGGAAAACAGCCAGTGTGTCCCACGTGTACAAAATAACCTGCAACCTGTTCATTACTGGCCAAAAAGAGGATTTGACATTTTTAATTGAGTACAAAAGAGGGTTTGATTGATCAGATTTTTAGTGGGGGGCTTTTGATTTTTTTGAAAAGTTAGGGGGCTCTTTTGATAATTTTCTCTTTATTTTATGGGTTTTTTATAAGAATATTACTAAAATAAAACTTATTTACATAAACATGACTATTCATTAATACAACGTAGTGCTGTGGTAACTTAAGTTGAAAACTTGAACATGAATTACTATGATTTCATTACTACTCTAGTAACTAGTCATATTTTTGTAAACCATCTTTATTTTGGTCATATTTATGTAATTATTTCTTATTTTATCTTTATTATCTTTTTTTATTGTATCTTATCTTTTTATCCTTTTTATTTTTTTACTCCGATTTCATGTGTCCATTTATTTTAGCCGGCTGCAAACTCTTTTTAAAATAAAGCTCGACAACGCCATTCATAATACTCGGCGCAATTTCTCAAACAAATGCCATGACAAAAAATGAACTTTGAAATTGATGTTTCAATCTTGTAAGAAATCTTCTATTATACAAAAGCAAGATGAAAACTGTACAGTGTTCCCGCCCAAACACTGTACAGTAACGGGTCGGGTCAAGTGGATATGGGTTCAGAAACGAGTGTGCAGCAAGTTCTCTTATCAACTCAATAAATTTCAACAGAAGCCCAATATCCAATGCATCAGTTTGTGTGGCTCAAAAAATTAATTTAGTGGCTCAATAAAAGAAGTACAATAATGTAGGCTGCATTTAATGTTCTGTACAATAGCCAGCTAATAACCATTGGGTATTACGTAGTAGTATATAACTAATAAAGTACACAACTGTCTTTCTCGGTTGATTCAAAGATATGAAATCTTTTGGAGTATAAAGTACCAGCGTGCTGTCCTTTGAAAGGAGCTTTCTCGATTGATTCAAAACTTTTATATGGCAAGTATACATCAGTACTGTGCTGTCCTTACAAAGTTAATATTGTGTGCTACAAGTTAGTTAATGTTATTAACCTTTGGGTCAAACACTACAAATTTTAGTATAAAACCATCTTAAATTTAGAGTGAAAATAGCAAGTTCGGAAATGAGTTTCGCATTGCAGAGATGGAGAGACACCAGAGGTTGTTTTCCATGAAGAAAGGTATATTATGTACAAACATAAATATCTGTTCACCATATCGTTCTTATTACTTATCATGTTATATAAGCATGACTAATTGGCATGGAGAGAGCATTCATGCAACAGTAGAAAGGACACATCTTGAACTGCATAAGTCAAGAGCAAAGGAACGTGCATATCTTTATATTCTTGATAAGAACCAAACAGGGAACCACAGCATATCCCTGCATCATATTCTTTATTAGAAGCACCTAAATGAGGGAAATCAGTTTTATAAGTTAATAAGCATGAAAATTAAGTGTTTTATATATCTAATAAATATATTTATTTTTATATCTGTAAACAATAGTTATTTTTACACAAGAGGTGTCGAATCAATTTTCAAAACCTTTAGTGAAAATAAAAAAATGATATTGTTGTTTCAAATTATATAGAAATCAAGTAAGCAGATTTATGCCAAATGTACATTTATGTAAATGTGTTTGCTAAGCATACTGAATTCTTAGAACATTATGGTAGGATACAAAAAATCAGGATAAATCAATCTTTTGGACTTTTGGTTTCCGAATAGATTAAAATATATCAAAAGTGATATACTTTAAGCAAGAACATTATTTTTGACCTTGGTAAGGAACAACTGGTGCATATATTACCGGAAACTAAAAACAGTAAAAAAATTTATCAGACTATTGATTTGCGAATATAATTGAATTATATTTCCATTTACTAGGCGGACAATATGATGTTAAATAGCTATTAGAAGGTATATACGCACGTGGGAAAGATTTTTTTTTCAAAACCAATTGATCGGTTCAATTTTCTTCTAAAATAAAACCTCATAATTTCATGAATCACTGCATATATCATGCCGGTTTTAGGGTTACAAAAGTGAAATAAAAAATTAATGAAATAAATTTAAAATAAAAATCTCATAATCCATAAATCATAACCATAACATGATTATCACAAGAGTTATTTTGCTCAAATAGGAAAGAAGAATACCTGGGTAAAGTCACTGCATTGAATCCTTCATTTGGTCCAGAGAGTGCCTAGGAGACCGACGGTGGGTTAACCGATCGGATTCGTTGGGTGATTCGAAGGTTGTTTCACCGACCTGCTGAAATCGGAGATGCTGCACGATGAAGGAGTGGATGGCGGTCGACGACTGAGAGCGGCTATCGGCATTGTGTAATCGGTGAAAAACCCATTCGATGGAGCCTGGAAAGTACGACGATGAAGCTTTGGAACATTACCGACAACTCTACTTTGTGCATACAAAGAACTGTGAACCAGGTTAGGATGAGAGCATCGGAGTAACCGTTAGTTCAGTGGAAGTATGGATGTTGTACGAAGTTAGGAGGATAGACGGTTGGTGGTGGGCGGAGTTAGGCATATAGCATCGGTTTAACCGATCTCCCTCTGTACAGAAAGAAGGTCACGTATGGGTGAATGGCGGCGATGAGGCTTAACGAGTTTATATATGTTTACCAAAGGGTCTAGGGTATTGCAAGCATGTTTACTAGATACGGAGTCCATGGGCACTATATGGTGTATCAAATTTGGGTAATTGGGTTTTGGGTTTCTATCAAATATGTTTATTAGCGTGTATATGTTGGGCTTGCTTTTCAGAATTGCAATGGGCTTATCAGGTTGATATAAAAATGTTTGTGTTTTACAAGGTTTAAAATGGTCCTGATTTGAAAACAAAAACATCAATTAGCATCGTTTTTCGTAAATCTTTTTTATATTAAATTAGTAAAGTTATTGCATTTATATTAATAAATTATATAGCTTATGTATATTACATCAAATAATTCCATTATTTTAAAACCTGTATATTTATAATTACGAACATATTTTGACATATAATGTTGAAGAAAATCAAATCATCAAATATTAGTTAAAAATTTATTTTTCATCTAATTTTATCTTTATATTACTAATAAAAGATATTATAATTTTTTCATCATTCAGTTGATCTAACCAATTTATTCACTTGAATAAAAAAATTATAAATTTCAACAGAATTAATCTATTTAACCAATTTCAGTGTTATGAATCGTGTTCTAAAATGAGGTTGAGTTTTGGATCATAAGGAAACCTATAGTTTTGGGCTTTTAACTTTGCATTTATGAATAGTATTGGATTCTTCATGCATGCACATTTCAAATACTTTCTCCGTCCCGTTGAAAGGGCCCCATTGACTAATGACACGATTTTTTAGGCAAATGATTAATAAATAAAATAATTTGGGTAAAAAATAGATGAATGAGACAACTTATAAAAAGTAAGCATATAAATCAAAAGTAAATAAAGGGAAATAAGTTGGGGGAGGGAAAACTATGAGACTTGGAGCCCGTTTGGTAGCACGAAAATCGGCTGATTTGGCTGATTCTGCTAAAATTTATGAAGTTCTGGCTGAAGTGGCTGCATTGACTGATTCTGCTAATTTAAGAAAAACATATTTTTAAAATATATTTTATTAATAAAATAAAGAAAAAATTATATGTAAAAATAGCTAAAATGATTATCTAGAGTAACTTCAGGCAAAACAGCCAGAAAAGTAACTCCAATCTTACCTTTTCTGCTTATTACACAATTCAGCACGCGAAAAAAAAAGATAAGAGTACGTGTTTGGTGAAAAAGTTGGCTGATAAGACTGATAAGCCGAAAAACAGTGGTTCCAAACGGCCTCTTAATATCTTATTTCTATTTTCATACATTTATCTTCTTTCAAAACATAATAACTCTTAGTAATTATAAGCTTTATTATATGATGTTTGATATTCTATATTCACACATTTACACATTATTGAATGAAAATCCGATGTTACTGTTAGAACTCATTTGATAACTCTGTTTTTCGTCTTATCATGCTTATTAACACGTAACTTTTGATTTCGCGCGCTGAATTGTGCAGTAAGGATGTTGTACTTGGATTGTTTTCAATCTCAGACCAAATCAGACCAAACCTGGATAATTATAAGGTTGAGGTTACTTTTTAGTTTGTGTTGACTGAAGTTACAGTATATGATCATTTTATCAAATTTTCATATAAAGTTTTATTTATTTTCTTAAAAAAAAATATTTTAATTTTTTTCCTCACAAATAAGCGGAATCAGCCAATGCAGCCACTTCTATCAGAACTTTATAAATTTTAGCACAATCAACTGATTCAGACAATTTCATTGTTACCAAACATGCTTTTGATATAATAAAGAATATGATATCGTTACATCAAATTTGTCCCGTGCATCGCACGGGTGAGAATCTAGTTAGCTTAACGTGATAATATAAACTGATGTATTGAAAAAACAACTAAAACACCAATAGTATATGTAAATGGCATATATATGTCAACAATATGAAGTCAATATTTAATTAAGTCATAAAAGCAATTCATAATACTCGTGATGTATTGAAAGCAATTCCTTAAAAACAAGTGTGCCTATAGTCATATTTAATTACATCTATAAAGTCAATATTAGTTATATGTCATAAAATCGGCAATATTTTCAAATCAAAGTCCAAAGCCAGAGATTTTATAAGTAAAAACTAATCAGTAATCACGACATATTCCGAAACCAAAAACGCAATCTAAAATGAAAGCTTAATCAAGGAAAAACAATTAGAAATATAAACTTACACAAAATCAAACCAAGCTCGTGGAAAAATCGAAAAGGATATATAATAAAAAAATGAATGGTAAAAGAGAATGAGGAGGACGAGGTGGAGGAAGAGGGTGAGCTTGAGGAACATGAGATTAAAAAGAAGAATAAATTGTTGGTAGTTTCTTCAAAAAAAAATTGTGTGGTAGTGTAATGGCTACACAAGAGAATATGATGGTGAGTGACACTTAACTGGGAGGAGGCTGAACTGGTTGAACATTCCATAATGAAGTGATGTGGTTTGTATATTATTATTATTATTATTATTATTATCATATTGACCACAGTATAATAGTAACGTGAAGTCCTATTTAGAGAATTGAAAACATGAAATCTTATTTGAGAACTTTGATAATGTTTTTGTCATATTTAGGACAATACTTAACTCATACAATTAAGATTAGATGTAATATAGAGTATCAAACTTTATTACTTTACTACATACTCCGGTATCCCCAAGCCATAGTGTGCTATGGTTTCTTGCATACTTGTGAGTATGAGGAGTGATGATGAGAAAATGGAGGTGGCGATGATGATGAACACTGCATCGGATCAGAAATATTCAAATTGATCATATCAGAAATGTTCAAATTCGATCAGATCAGATCAGAAAGATTCAAATCAGATCACAAAGATCATAACGGATTAGAAAAATTTAAATCTTATCGGATCACAAAAATTAAGATCAAGTCTTAAAAAAATTAGAAGAGAAACATTCCGGAACAACTTTCCAACCCTCTATCCAAACAATCCAAACAATCATAAGTTTTTTTTTGAAAGGTAACGGAGTTAAGTTAAACTGAGTAGAAAATTCATCATCGCGGAAGAAGATAAAACAGTGAAGCATTTGCGGATAGCCAATTAGCCATATCACCGCTCTTTCGGGGCAGCTACAGAAAAAGCGTCTCCCAGTCGACCTTATCCAGACCGAGCTCTTACTTTCTCTTTAGCCTCTTCTATTTATCCCAACGGCATGATGTTATCGGCGGTAGCTCAGCCGGCGGTTATTCTCGAATCTCCGCCATCTTCATTTTCTCATCAGAAACTACTTCCAAACAAAGTTGAGTTCTCCGCTCGCCTACGAGGGTCCCAATCTCAACTATCCGTTGCTCTCTCGAGAAAGCTCAGCGTCTCCGCATTTTCCGCAGCAGCCGTCGATTCCTTATCCGGAGGAAGCGCATCGATTGACACACAATCTCCAACTCCCCCCATTCAGAAAGAGGTAAATAATTTCGGTTTTCATCAATTTCATCATAGAATTACAGTAATCGCGTACTAGCAAAAAGTGAGAAAAAAGGCTTGGCCAGGTTCTTTTCATTTTGTATTGCTCTGAAAATAATAGTTGTTTCTTGAAAATACAGAAGCTTGGAGTTGTGGTAAAGCCAATGGAGAAACCTAGATTAGTACTAAAGTTCATATGGATGGAGAAGAACATTGGGATTGCGCTTGACCAATTGATACCCGGGCATGGCACCGTCCCTTTAAGTCCTTACTATTTTTGGCCAAGGAAAGATGCTTGGGAAGAGCTGAAGGTGATGCTAGAGAGCAAGCCTTGGGTTTCCCAGAAGCAGATGATTCTTCTTCTAAATCAGGCCACTGATATAATCAATCTATGGCAACAGAGTGGTGGCAATTTGGTGTAGCCTTTTCTTTTATGGTGCTACTAGGTGCTATCTATTCACTTGTAACATTGTCTTGCTCTGCTTCTTTTGGTTTAGATTATTATTATTATGCTGTTACAATTCTGCTCAATCTGACATTTTAGTAAGTTTCTTGTACATTTTTTACTGAACTGCTGTTTCTTTTTAGTGCCCAACTTATTTTCATCAAAATTTCATAGTTCATCCTCAGATTTAGCTGTTGTATTAGCATCACACTTTACTTATTTAGTGGTATCAAGCTGTTAGTATTGTATTCAACTTTTCTCTTCTCCTTACTTGAGTTATGCTACGAAACACAAAGAGAAGGTCTTGAGAGTTTTGGGTCTCAACAAAATCCCCAATCTCTTACATGAGCTATGTACTCCTTCCAAGGACCCCATCGGGCCATTTCCCATGCCATGTCATGATGTGAATAGCTTAATACACTTGTACTATGCGCTTAAGTAGTCGTAAATCTGCCTTTGCCTCATATTGCCGTTAAGAAATGTTGTTTATCTTCCCGTTAGTAATGACTTACCCACAGAAAATCTTTTAACTGCATCTGCATTTCTGTTCTACATCACTGAACCTATTTCACCGGCGTAAAGAACTTAGCCGCTGAGGACCCAGTTCATCCGCAGAAGATCGCCGCATTCGTTGCCCTCCCTTCGCCCCCTTTGTCTTGATTTTAATGGTTATTGCATATAAGAAGGTAATTTAACTTCATATACGCCTGAAAATCGCTCATGGCCCTACGTTTTTCAACCCTCGTTACAACTTAAGTTATATAAAACAAAGGAGCCTTCATGTCTTCAATCGTCCTAGTTTCACCTTAGAAATATGTTCATTGCTTCCCAAAGTCCTCTTCCACTGCTCAACAGTTTTCTTATGGTAAGCCTTTTAGCCATTTCCATCTTTTTTGTGCTTGTGTTATTCCCCTTTGTTTACTGATTGACAGAATTAGGTATTGGACTGAAAACTGTTTGTTAACCAATACTATTGCTTTTATAGTATTGTGCAGCACTGCATCTAAAAGTTAATGGAAATTGTGAAACTAAAATATATAGCCATCTATGCTCCTAATTTGTTAACAACTTTTCCTCTAACACTAGAAAGTATAAACAACTAAATCTCTTGATTAATTAATTGCAGTTGCTCCTTTTGAAACTGAAATTCAATAAAGGATGTTGCATATTAAAACCTCCTGTTATCATAACCAACTATTTTTGTTGAATGATGTAGCTGTGGACAATTTTGGAACAAAGAATTTTCAGTTAAGTATAATGAACATAAAAAAGAGAGATTCCTCAAGGTTAGCATGAAGTCAGCTTAATAGGAAACAAATAGTACAATATTATGAAATAAACAAATGATTAGGCACATATGATCCTTATTTCAGAATAATGAACAGAGCCGTCTAATTGCTTTACTGAGCCCCCATATAATAAGCAAAGTTTACAATAAAATGTCACGTGTCAGAATATTATTGTTAATATTACAAATCAGAAATCACATAAATTATACGTAGTGTAAAATTAAAGAATCTCATCTACGCACAAAAGAAGGAATCAAAGTGGTAGAACTTGACTGTCAAGAGAAAATTTTTACCCTAAAGTAACAGATCAAGAAGTGGCACATTGGATTTTTGTTGATGATATGAGTGAACCTGGAATACTCGGCATGCACGATTGGTCGTGGCTTGACCTTCCCATGGAGGCTAATGGGCAGTCTCAGTATGCAGCAAGCTTCTTGGAGGAACAGTCTGGGATAGCCTAGCCCCTAGGTTCGGCTTTGCTTTGGTTGCAATCGTCTCAAACAATGATCAGCATGACCCAGGTACCAATGGCGTCAGCTTTAGTGCTGTGCCAACTAGACCCATTTTGCACATGTGTAATATCCTAGCTGGATTTCCAGGTGTGTTTTCCTGACATGTGCTCAACGTGGATTACAGATTGTTGCTTGAATTACAGGCTTGCTTTACTGACATCTGGGAGAAGTATCTGAAACACTTGGACTCAAACTTTCTCTACAAAGATGAAGCACAAATTCCCACTTACTTTCTCTATACGTTCCAATTACACCTCATCCCTGGTCGCAAGGCTATCAAAAATAAGAAAAAAGATACAACAAGGTTAGAATGTCATAAATGAAAGAAATGAATGAAGAAAATTAAAGAACTGTGGCTGGAAGTAGAATAAAGAAATATGGAGGAAGATAACAGAGAAGGTTAGGATCCTACAGTGATTGTAATGTTCTTGGGTATCTTCTACCATGGTTAGATGTACAGAAAAATAGAAGAAAGGTAACACATGGAATGTCATTGAGTTTTCTTAACCTTGAGAAACCGTTCAGTTATTCTCTGAACTGACTCATTTTGAATGCTTTGTTCATAAAGTAGCCTCATTTATATAAACAGAATTGATATTCAATTCATTAGCCCACTAAATTCAACAAGGCTTCGCAAAGAATGATAAAACATATTTTAAAAATAAAACTAATCAAGGCTAATTGGGAATCAACTTATCATTAACAGAATTTGCGATGTTGATCCCTTTTTCCGGGATGACAGTCGGGCAGTCGGCACATATCATTAGGAAATCAAGTTTTTTTCAAGCTTGATAAGTTGATACTACTTCCGTCAGTCTGTCCCACTAACATTGGGGCATGAGGACAGAGGCGGATCCAGAAAAAGTTGTTATTGGGGGCACTGATATGTGACAGAAGTTTAAATATCAAAATCACTTCAAATTTGAATCATGCAATAGCTCAATATTTTTAATATTGATAGAAAGAAATTGACGCAAGCTAGCATTGTGAATTTTTTTATTGACAATATTAGACAATAACCATTTTAAGAGCATCTCTAATGGCACAATGTGCATGGTGAACATATGACATGAAAGAGATAAACACATAAATGTTAATGAACAAGTACAATATGTCTCTCATTATTTGAAACGTCTAGTGTTTTTGATAAGTTATTCTCCACAATTTACGGATGTCTAGAAGTAGACATTATGATAAAAAAAAAGTTATTAAACTATATAAAACCGTGGAAAGAGAGAAAAAAGAATGTACATAATTTGTTTTCTGTATTCATCTCTCGCATTTCACATGTAAACCGTGCACATTACATTAAAGATGCTCTAACTTTCTCCAATATAATACCACTCGCACATTATATTAAGGAGTATGTGTTTTTCAATTATATCCATTATCTTTTCTACTAGTAGTATATTTCAATTAGTAATTGAAGAGTTGAGATGTTTTCTTTTGGACTGAAATTTGTTGGTTTGGTCTGGTCTGGTCTGAACTGGTCTAGTCCGGTAAACGTCTGGTCGTTGTGTATTTTATAACTACGAATGTCAAGTCTGATCTAATCTGGTCTGGTCTGATCTGGATTGGTGTGATCTGGTATGGGACTAAAAACAGTCAAAAAAGAAAACATCCTTACACTTCTACTCCCTAATATAATTGTCAAATCTATTAAAAGTATTGGTGTGGTTTTTAGAATGCAATTAATGAAGGTAATTAGAACAAAAGTTTTAAATGTTCATCTAATCCTCTGTATAAAAATAGCATACTCTGTTATGAACGTTGTGAATCTAAAATTAAAATTAAATGAATCACTAATTAGAATAAAACTAAATATGTAAGCTATAAAGCTTCAAGATCCTAACCAAAATGGATACAAACTAGAATCTTATCAAATACCATAATTAAAAATTTGAAATTCCACTACCGAAATAAATTTGAGCTGACCTTGCAATTATGATTTAAACAAAGTTTGGTAAGATTAATGAGGGCATTTGTTTATTCTTATTGGGGGCACACCATAATATTATAATGTATCATGATTAATTTACACTAAAATTGATGAGGTTATTGGGGGCATGTGCCCCCATTAGTTATACATTGCATCCGCCCCTGCATGAGGGGTGGTGCAGTTATTCAGAAAAGTTTGTTTATGTGATTGATATTGAGTTGAAAAGTAGTGAGTCTTTGGTTCCATTGCAAATGATGGATGCAGTTATAGAGGTATGTAATTTTAAAACCTCAATGATTATTCAATCTAGCTTCATGAGGTGATACAATGTGTTTTGTTGTATGTACTCTATTAAACAAACATATGTTTCCGTTTTATTTCCGTTCCAAAATTCCTCCCATGCGTTCGGTCTGCCTTTGTTTATCGTCATGTTCATTGCACCTCCTTTACTTCGCCTCAGCGGCTCCCAACCATGCTATCACGCAGCTTGCCCCATCCAAGTGGGGAGAATTTTTTCCAGATGGAGGTAGTAATAATTAATGTTTTGAGGAAAACGATATAATTAATTTATAATGTGTTTTAATAAATTTACTCCACATATTTCTTCAAACTCACAATTTATAAATTACCTACTGGTTGTGAGCAGGGGCGTAACTAGGGGGCAACCTAGGCCCCGTCCCACCCCAAATTTAAAACATGTCTATATTTTTAGTGTTAAAATTCCGTGTAAACTTTTTCCCAAAAATATTTTTTGTACCGGTCCAATTCAACCCAATGTCCTGGCTCTTTCGTGGTTGTGAGGCAATCGCAAAATCGATATGACTGTCATAATTCTTTTGTTTGGCATTATATTTTTAATGCCGCCAGGTGGAGTTTCTTTCTATGACCCCATCCTGACAGATTAGCTATCCAAGAGAGGGCCTTTCTAAAAAAACTCTAACATTCCCTGCTGCCCCGCTTCCTCTCCTTTTTCTATTTTCTGACACATACTGAGATTGTGTTTACAAAGTTGCTGCTAGGATCCTAGGCAAAGGTTTCCCAGGGAGTAGTAGCCCCAAAGGAAGCCGAAGGCATACCCAAATAAGGATAAGTAGAATTGGCATTGAGTTCATGGAAGACTCCTAATAAAAGGTATATAGTGCTTAAACTCATCCCGTCATTTATTAGGATGGATAAGGCAGGATGACTTTCTATCCGTATTGTGCTAGCATATTTTCTGGGTTTATTAGGATTCGTCCTGCAATCGGACTTAAAGAGAAGGGAAGACTTATAGAAATTTACAGCAGATGTGAGTCGTAGCTAACAGGTAATCCAATTTTCAGCATGTGAAATGAAATCACTCTGGAGGCACGATTATATGATTGAATGATCAAGCTAAGAATAGGAAATGCTAGTTACTTAAAGGAGTGACTCACGCATTATCCTTGAGGTACTTCCTACCTTGCTTCTTAGTTTGTCTAAGAAGAAGAATAAGAAGTCATAAGTAGTGGTGAATCCGTGTAGCTGTCATCTTATATGGTAATTGTTTCTTTACACCCAGTAGTTGCTTTTACTTAATAATATCTCTTGCTTGGAGCTTCCTTCGACCTTTTTGAGAATGATGCATTTCTTTTTATGACATCCTATTCCTCAAGAAAGCTAACTCGATAAGAATTATCTCTCTCTCTCTCTCGTCGATGCTATTGAATCCGCTGCTATTTCATATGAGTCACTATCCAATTCCATAACAGAAAGATCGGGATGGGACTATAGCTTTTGGCTTTCTTCCTTCACTTCTATCAAGGATTGCCGCTAGAAGGGCTCTTGCCCATGTTTAATGCCTTATTTTATTCTATGAAGACGAAGAGCTAGTGTTATAATCAGATGTCGAAATAGCAGCTGCGAACGGAATGCGGGATAAAGGATGAATTGTCCAAAGAGTTACCATAACTGAGCAAGCGTTCAGAGTAGTTTCAACTTTCAACATTTATCATACAAGCATGTTGATCACTTCACTTCCTCATTGAATATAGCTGGCCTAGAAAGTATCCTCCAGCTGGTATAAGAATGCTTGTAGCATAAATGTTTACACTATAATGAGTGCATTGAGCACAACAGAACCACTGTGGAGAAGGATGACAGTTACAATAATGTTTGTCAAGAAACAGAAGCATAGGAACACCATATGAGCAGTGGTTCCCCATCTAAAGAAAAACCACACGCGCACACCCACACGCACACGCGCGCACACACATCCACACACACACACACATGCACACGTCCACACACACACAGGCACACATATGCACGCCATAGTTTATATTACTGTGGCCATAAATTTGGTGAGCCGTCGTAATATTCATAACTATTTGGAGTCTTGGTATGAGTGGAGAACAAGAGTAACACAATAATAGTCCAATAGTATTATCGAAACGAGTAATCACTTTAAGAAGCTAATTTATTAAATCTGATGACTATTAAACAATTAACGAACGTTAAGACATAATAATTTTTTGAGCAATATAAATAATATTGAGCAAGTAGACATTTTGCTTCATTTGTACCATTTCATTATGCTTTAGTTTGATGATGTTTTTTTAATAAAATACGTAACAATATCTATGGTACATGTATTATACATGTTATCTTTAAAATATGTGTATTTTTCTGTGGGTTCTGAAAAATTCATAAAGAGGAGTATTAAGGGAAAGTTTCTAAAATAGGATTAAAACAGTTTGAAAAGTCCAAAATAGGACTGTCATATTTTTTATTTTTAAAATAGGAGTAATTAACGCCTTTTTGGAGATTGTTAGTTCTTTTTTTTTTTCAAATTACGTTTGAGTTTCTCAAACATACAATTTAGACCCACCTAACGGAACCGAGCAGAGAATTCATCCTCCTCGCAGACGAAGATAAAACAGTGAAGCATTTGCCTATAGTCATATCACCGCTCTATCGGGACACTACATAAAAAGAGAGTGAGCGAGAGTTGATTGATGGCTTCTCTTGTCAACAACCCCTTCACTCCTATCCGCAACACCTTCAACACTGCCACAGTCAAGTCCAACCTAAGCCCCGAACCCAGTTTCTTCAAATGGCGTTGCTCGGGGGCTCAGTCTTTCTCTATGAAGAGGGCTTCGTTTCCCAGAATCGTGTGCAAAGCCGTGTCTGTGAAGCAGCCCTTACCGTCAGCTACCGAGATTGAAGGCCTCAATATTGCAGAGGATGTTACTCAGGTCAGTGTGTCACTGACTCAGTGAAAGTATCACTTTTTTTAAAAAAATCTTGGGATTAAATTGAAATTTTTACTGGGGCTGTGTTTATTTTTTAAGTTAAAGATTTAAGTATGAGAAAAGCTATTATTTCTTGGATTATTATCTTAATTTATGCCAAACTATCATCAAATACACAAATCTATCCTATTCTTTCACTTTTATTAAAAGACTCAAACTTCATCTTTTCCAACAATTATGTTTTTCTTGTTATGTTTTTCCAAAATTATACTCTGTACATTTTTATCAATACCAATAAGATATAATCAATACTAGTTTGTAAACTTAAATATGAAATATAAATATGATTTTCTTCTTAAGTTTTACTAATTCATCTATTGATAGTGTAATTTGTTTAGAAAAATTGAAGTTTGAGTCTTTTTATAATAAAGGTGAAAGTATAGGATAGATTTGTGAATTTGATGATAGTTGAGGATATATTTACCTAATAATCCTTATTTCTTCTGTACTTAAAGTTAAAATCCTTTTTCTGGATAAAAGCACATCGTGGTACCTTATTCCCCTGGATTCTATTGGAACTTATCTTCTTTGTTCTTACTTTGTTCACATGTAGCTATAGTTTGGGGGTTTGGGCAAGTATGAGCCTGGACTTGAATTGTCTGGGAGATTTTATATATTTGTTTGATTGTTTTCTATCAAGACAGTATCATTATAGTTGAACTACTGTTGAAGTTGAAATAACATCTTTCTTAGAATGAACTCAATGAAGTGTTACTTGAATAGTTCTATTATGGAGTGTGATTATTTTACTAGTATTGTGGACTGTAATTTCACTAGTATCAAGACAGAATGAAGTGCTACTTGAACTATTGTCCTAGAATCAATGTTTTCTACTCCGTATTAAACTTCCTTTGTTTCTGGTTCATGCTTTCTCTCTTATATGGTGCTTTCTATATCTGCTTTTGAGTGATCATTTCTAATTCTATTATGGAGTGTGATTATTTTACTAGTATTGTGGACTGTAATTTTTCCTACTTATTTTTTAAAGTGTGATTTGGTTTTTATAAAACTTGGACAGCTTATAGGGAACACACCAATGGTGTACTTGAATAATATTGTAAAAGGCTGTGTTGCAAATATTGCTGCCAAACTTGAGATTATGGAGCCATGCTGCAGTGTAAAGGACAGGTGATAGTTTCTTGTTTACATTAAAAATGCCATGAATGTAGCATGTACATATAATAGCCAATTGGCATCGTACTTGAGATGCAAACTTTATTTTGATACTTTTCAACTATTTGCTGATATAATTTCTCATCCATGTACGTCTTAATTATTGAGGAGGCATACTGTTAGTTACTTAATGGACATGTCATAGTGCCACTCCGTTGTGCACAAGCACTGATCTTTTACTCATTCGAGTCCCACACAGAATAGCTGTGCACTCTAATAATATGGAGTATAAGTAACCATCATAAGTTCATAACATGATTTCAAGTGTTAGTAATTTGGCAATAGTCTTGTTTATCTCCTGGTACATGATAGTCAAAATACAAAGACCTTGGAAAGTTATCTCGAAATGTAATTTTCTATTGGGATGTGTAAAATATCTTTTCAGGATAGGATTCAGTATGATAAATGATGCTGAGGAGAAGGGACTTATATCTCCGGGAAAGGTAATGTATCCAAGCAATATCTAGTTCATGCCAAATGCATACTTCACACGTTTGCATCTCTAGGGCATTGTAGTCGTCCTGGACGGGTCTTGGATTCTAGGTATTTTACAATCGGCAACCTTAGTCTTTTGCAGGATGAAAATCTCGATTTATATTTGATATCTTAGTGCTGAAGTTACAACACCCTGTTAATGGCCTCATTCTTTTGCTTACTAGGGGATAAAAGAACTTACAATCTTTTTGGACTTTGGATGGGGTGTAGCTGTGTGATGGGCTATAATTAATGGAAATTAAGGAAAGTGGAAGTAAGGAAAATTAAAGAAACGATACCAGTTGTTATCTTATCGTTGTTTGGAAGAAGATAAAATGGAAAAGGTAGGATAAATGTGCAAATTGCCTTACGGACCAAAAATGGTGGAGAGTGAGTGCAGAGGGTGGATGATGTGATTGAAGGCGGAGATAGAGACTAGAGAGTGGATCGTACAACACTATTTTTATCACCTCTTCTACACCTGTAATCAGTGTTTAAGCAAATCAGCAGAATAAAAATGAGGTGTATCGGAGGGTAACACTTAGACTTCCTCGCACTTCACTCACTCTTTTTTCATTTATCTCCGAAAAGGGTAATCCCCTGCCCTTCATCTCTAGATATATAAAACCCTGCATCCTAAGCATTTATTGTTGGCTCATCATATCAATAATAGTTCAATACAATAGTCTTAGAATAATTACAGCCTCTTTATTTTGGTTTTCTGAGAAGTGAGAACAGAAGGACTTGTTCATAATTGCTTTGCATATTCAGTGTGTATGCTTAAGTTTCATCTCTAAGCAGTTTTAGTATTTAAATAAAGGGATCCGAAATTTAGTTATTACAACTGTTTCAAAGTGGTTAAGCTCTGAAAAGCGTTTAGTCAGAATGGAATAACAGAAAAATTGTAATGTTTTGGGGGTATCTTCTACCATGGTTAGATGTAAAGAAAATAGAAGAAAGGTAACACATGGAATGTGATTGAGTTTTCTTAACCTTGAGAAACCGTTCCGTTATTCTCTGAACCGACTCATTTTGCATGCTTTGTTCATAATGGATTTGATATTCAACTAGTTAGCTCACTAAATTCAACAAGGCTTCGCAAAGAATGATAAAACATATTTTAAAAATAAAACAAATCAAGGCTAATTGGGAATCAACTTATCATTAACAGAATTTGCGATGTTGATCCCTTTTTCCGGGATGACAGTCGGCACATATCATTAGGAAATCAAGCTTGTTTTCAAGCTTGATAAGTTAATACTACATCCGTCCCACTAACATTGGCCAATGAGGAGGTGGTGCGGTTTTTAAGAAAATTGAGTTTATGTGGTTGATATTGAGTTTAAGGAAAATAGAAGAAAGGTAATACATGGAATGTGATTGAGTTTTCTTAACCTTGAGAAACCGTTCCGTTATTCTCTGAACCGACTCATTTTGCATGCTTTGTTCATAATGGATTTGATATTCAACTAGTTAGCTCACTAAATTTAACAAGGCTTCGCAAAGAATGATAAAACATATTTTAAAAATAAAACAAATCAAGGCTAATTGGGAATCAACTTATCATTAACAGAATTTGCGATGTTGATCCCTTTTTCCGGGATGACAGTCGGCACATATCATTAGGAAATCAAGCTTGTTTTCAAGCTTGATAAGTTAATACTTCATCCGTCCCACTAACATTGGAAATCAAGCTTGTTTTCAAGCGGTTTTTAAGAAAATTGAGTTTATGTGGTTGATATTGAGTTGATAAAATAAGAATAAAGTAAGAATGGTTTAGAACCACACAAGTTTTACCAAATTTGGTATGAAACGGTCTTAATGGAACAGACCAAAAAGGAAAGATGAGACAATTTCCTCCATGAGGTTACAATTTTGTACCAGGGGAACATAGGTAAAAGATCAAACCTTCTCAAGACTCCACCACATTAAAATCAAGGCTAGGTACTTTGATTGATATTTTCAAAATCAATCATCATTAATTAGTTCCCTATTAGCCTTGATTGGTTTTGAAGAGGTTTTAAGTTTGGTAAGCTACCTTGTTGATTATTTTTTCCTTATTGCTCACTCTTCGTAACTCCCATACAAAGGAGGTTGCTTTTTGAATAAAGCATGGAAGAATGAATAAAGTTAAGAACTGAAAGGTTTCCAAGGAGAAGGGAACTCCATAACAATTCCATTGTTTCAAATTGTGCAATGCAATAGCGCAATGAGGCTCACCTCAAGTATTTTCTACAGCAAGGCGCAGAATTGCATTGCTAAAAGCGGTAGTGCAGAAAAGGTCGCAATATGGCGCAGAGGCGTACACCTTCTGCGATGCGCAACAAGGTGTCCTGAGGCGATAGCCTTAGGTTTAAGTAGACATGTGGGCCGATAGGGCCCACTTTTTTATTTTTTTAAAGTTAGCAAAAGCGATTTTCATGGATTGATTCATGTGGACCCCATAATCTTTTGATAATAAGGCTTGGATGTTGTTGTTGTTAGAAAAAGCGAGCGTGTACGCTATTCCCCTTGAACTGGTTGCCAACCTGCTTTGGTGTTTCACCCTTCGTCAATCGTTAGAAGAAGATAGGTTGCTTCTTCTTCATTGCGCATCACAGGTGTGCAGAAAGCCTGTGTTCCTACTTAATCTGATAAAGTTTTAGCAATAGGCGGAAGTTTTAAGTTTTATCTGCTTCTCATTTAACTTCAATGTTTTAGTTAGTAATATATGATTATCAATTTGGCATACTACGTATATTAGTGTCATGTTTGTAATCTTAATTTTAGTTAATTAATTATTTTCCATCGATTGATATAGAAAGTTAATTCTACATATTATCTTAATTTTAATATTAATATTACTGTAAATATTATCTTAATTTTCTGTTAATATGAAATTGGTTAATATTATCTTAAATATCTTTTAACTCATCAATTTAATAATTATACAATTATAGAATGGTTTGAATTTTGAACGTATTATTTTACTATGATTATGTCCTCATTATATTATTTTTAATTGTGTATATAATCACACACACACACACAATTTACGCCTCAGGATCACGCCTCATTGCGCAATGAGGCTTACGCAATATGCAATAACAAAAAAACGCCACAATTATGCAATACTCAACTTTGAACCTTGAACATTCTACGTGTTACCTTTCTTTTGTATTTCTACTTGCCTTCCCATTCAACATTTCAACCATGAAGCCAGCCCAATCGTCCTTTACACAACACTAATCGCCCCGTTGACACAGAAAATATATCCCAGGAACATAATAGTGCTGCAAATGGGTTGCTTGTGGCACATGCAATAATAGAAAAGACAAAGGAAAAGCAACGTCCTTGTTGGAGTGTTCTGGTTCTGCGGGGACTGGGAGTGAGAAATAATAAGTATCAAATGTGAAGAAACAAAGTGTCCTGGAAATTTTCTAACTATTTGAAATTTGTACGAAATAAAAACTCCCTGTAAAAGTAGAATAAAGTAATCTGTATGTATACATTGGTTAAGTAATTATAAAACAAATGTGTGTTTGTGTGTGTTTAACACATATATTCAATATTTAAAACGAAGGCGGTTCAGGGAATTGTACACTGTTGAACCACAAGATTAGTAATCATTACTCCCTCTTCCCTAAATTAACACCCACTTGTACATAGCACAATGTTTAAGAAAATTTATACTGTATGGTATTTATTTAGAGGAGAGAAATAATATGAACCACATATCGCTTTCTTAAAAGAACCGATAGCTTAAGACAGGCGAAAAAAGAAAGTGTGAAAATTACATTTGTGATTGTTTATGAGTTAGGCTGTAACTTTAATATGCAGGATTGCAGCAATGCTCAGCTTCGACATAGGGTTCAACAGAAACATTTAGATTACTCATATTTCCCTTAGTTGTTATGATACTTGATAGTGATGCATATCTCTGAGTTCTTTCCAAATTTCAATCTTTATCTATCTATCTAGACTGTCTTGGTGGAACCCACAAGTGGTAATACTGGCATTGGGCTAGCCTTTATTGCTGCTTCAAAAGGCTACAAACTCATCTTAACAATGCCGGCATCTATGAGTCTTGAAAGAAAAGTTATTTTGAAAGCTTTTGGTGCCGATCTGGTTTTGACGGATCCAGCAAAGGGAATGCTAGGTGCTGTTCAGAAAGCTGAAGAAATATTGAATAACACACCTGGTGCCTATATGCTTCAACAATTTGATAATCCTGCTAATCCAAAGGTATCACGTCCATGTCATGGAAACTGCTTAGTACTAGACCAACTGAATTTTTCCTCTGTTTCTCATATGTCTGTTTTTCTGCCACTTTAACTATATAATGGGACGTCAATTTATTGTCCCATTTTGTAGGGACATTGACGTAATAGAGTTCTCAATGTCACCCATTCATTTTGGATGGTCTAGAAAAAGAACAAGATGGTCTTGATTAGCAATTGTTTCAACTCAATATCAGATAAACAACTGCTTTGATTGTTGAACATGACTAGTAAACTGGCTTTCTGCATGTGTTCTTCTATTTCAGGATTTGAATACCAATTGTTTCAATTAATTTTCAGACAAGTTACTACTTTAATTTTTAAACATGTTTACTGAACTGCTCTTCTGCATGCTCTCTTTTGACTCAAACTAAAAAGATACTTGTTTACCCTCACTTTATATGGTGCTGGTATTTTCTTTTTTCCTCAGGGCATAGTGGATTCTTTACCCTAAAACTTGGGGAATACTAGATCATTTCCTATTAAAATTTACTCCTGGTTATGGTATGTCTGTATAGATACACTATGAAACAACTGGTCCAGAGATTTGGGAAGACACAAAAGGAAACGTTGACATACTTGTTGCAGGGATTGGTACTGGTGGAACCATTTCTGGTGCAGGGAGATTTCTCAAACAGCAAAATCCTAGCATTGAGGTGATACATGTGTGCGTGTAGGGTTTCAATGGGTATGTTAGGAAGTACCCACCCATGGTTTCTTTAATATCCACTGTTGATTCTAGGTCAAATGGTCAGAATTATTTTGGCCGGCATTCAATGCTTACCTAAAATTATGTGAGCATTAAGTTTCAAGTTTAAAAAAAGTGTATCCATCCATGGAGGCTACCCAATGAAAACTCTTCTATGCACAGATAGGAACACACAGGCAGTACATGCCACACACATACATATACATATATACATGGACATATGTATGTAGATACAAATATCCATGGCTCACACACATGAGTTTTATGATGATGATCAGCATCATCATCATCTGGACTTTAATTCCAAGTAGTTGGGATTGCTGGCATAGGTTTCTAGCCTAGTAGACTTGCTTCATTGCTCTTAAAAATTGATTTTGAATGTTGCAGTGTCTAGTATATGCATATAACCTCCAACATTCTACTGTCCTTTGTGTGTGTGTCGCAGTGCAATTTACTTGTTTTTCTTTGTGGGTCTTGTCAGATCATTGGTGTGGAGCCTGCACAAAGCAACGTATTATCTGGTGGAAAGCCTGGTGAGATAGCAAAGTTGTCTATACTCATTTTTACATTTCACACCTTTTTAATTCGAAATTGCAGGCCCTCACAAAATTCAAGGGATTGGAGCAGGTTTTATTCCAAAAAATTTAGATCAAGATATTATGGATGAAGTTATAGAGGTATGTAATTTTTAAAAACTCAATGATTATTCAATATCTGCATACATAGATTTCATTACCTTCTACTTTTGCTCCATGCAATTTATATTTTGGTTTTGATTCTATGCACTCTCCCTTTTTGGCTAATACTACCTCCGTCCCACTAAGATTGGGACGAGAGAAGGTGACACGATTATTAAGAAAAGTGAGTTTGTGTGGTTGATATTAAAGTGATAAAGTAAGAATAAAGTAAGAATGATCTAGAGCCACACAATCTTTACCAAATTTGGTATGGGACAATCTTAGTGGGACTTCCCGAAAAGGTAAAATGGGACAATCTTAGCGGGACGGAGGTAGTACTAAAGTTTTTAAAAGTGGCTTTAAGCCTTGAGGTGTCTGGTTTCTATGAGGTGAGGCACGAGCCTTGAGGTTGTACGAGACACAATAACTTAACTTGTAATACTTGAACATCATAAGATTAATGTTAGAATTAGATCTATGTGACACAATAATATTTTAGAAACAAAGTAGTAAAATTAGGTACTCCTGACATCTTGAGCCACATAATTAGTTTAACACGTATCAAAACACATGCTCAGAGCAGCATCAGGAAAATTATACTCCTGACAATATTTTAATTGATTCATGTGATTTGATTCTTCATTTTGTAACTTCATGCACCTGCAAGAAATTTAGAAGTCAGAGAACATTCGTAGCAGGTACTCCAAAAAATGATTCTTTTCCCCACAAAAACGAAGATAATAGATTGAAGTTTGTCAAAAGAGTTATGAGAAAAGAAGATATTCTGAGAAAAGTTCTAAAGGTTTACCATGAATAAAAAAGGTTGACTAACTTTGCAATAAAATTGAGTTGCATGAAGCTTGTGAGAAGAAGAGTTGTTTGTCTTCTTAGTGGAGTATGTTAAATCACTTAAATGGCGATTAAGCTGTGCAGTTTGTGTGAATCTGAAGAGGGTTGCTGATTTGAAAACCGACTTGATGATTCTTTATGGCCTTTAAGTGACTTTGTTCTTCAGAAAATTGAATTGTCGTGGTGGACTTGATAAATCTATTTTCAATATGACCAAAATAATAAACCTTATAATAAAACTTATGAGGCTTAAGCCTAAATCAAGGCCTCGAGTCTTATGAAGCTACCTCGCCTCATTCTTAAAGGCGTAAGACTTAAGGTTATAAAGTTCATGTTCCTTAAATTGAGATGAGCTTCACAAGTGCATTGTAATACCATATGCTATATCCACTTCAGTGCTCGTATCTTTTCATCAATTTTTTAAGAATTAATATATCTCTATGAAGCACAGAACTTTTAGGGGCTATTGTTTATGAGTTTCTGAATTTCTGAAACTTTCAGGAAACTCTAGCAACCCTTTATTACAACTTTTTCTGTTTAAAGATTATGTTTCTCCGGGTGGCTATTTCACTTCACATTTCTTGTGTTTCCATTTCCGTGCAACATAGATATCAGATGATGAAGCTATTGAAGTTGCAAAGCAATTAGCACTTAGAGAAGGATTGCTGGTAAGTGCTTTCATATCTTTCACTCTTTCAGATCTCTGGAGAATTTTTAGTGATTTATTGTTCATGATGATTGGTTAGACGTCTTTTCTTTCAGATTATCTCCATGAAGACTAACATGAAATCCTTTTGTTAGTTGATGCTTTAGTTTTCAATAAGTTACCATTCTTTTTCTTTCTTTCACACTTCCAGTTTATGTTTGTTTTGGAAATGCAAAACTTTTAAGGAACCATATGTGACTCTCTTATGGAGTCACATAGAGTATAGTGGCATCATCTCCACCACATATCATTTTAGTGGAGGTCTCCACTAAAATGATATGTGGTGGAGATGATGCCACTATACTCTATGTGACTCCATAAGAGAGTCACATTTATGGAGTCACATATGGTTCTATAAATCTACTCTTGGAAATGACAGTCAATAGGGAAAACTCAGTGTTTTGGTTTGTATATTAGTAGTTTCTTACTTCCCCATGATCTTGATTGAAAGGAATAACTGTTTTCCCATTCAAAGAAATGTGTATACTAACAGATATTGTTATAAGTTAGACAGCCTTTTTTGATGAAAACTAAAAGGCAGAGATGATGCAATTCATGCAATGGATAAGGTAGAAAATAAAATGAATGATTTTTTTGGAAATCATTCATGCCTCCATGTTTGCTAGTGCATTCCTTTTGCTGCAATACAGGGAGGAATTGCCTAAAATGGAGTTTTTAGTTCCTCAGCCTACACGCATAAATTATATCAACCTTGTGAGTTGACTAGTAATGATGTTATTTATTCCCTTCGAAGCTATAATTGAGTACTGCTTATTCCTTTCCATATAGAATAACTCCCATGTTATATTTAATAAATCTTATGCTATTTGGTTTTTAGAATATTTTTACATCTTCTGCTCTGAACTTGTAATGATCAGGTGGGCTTTTCCTCTGGAGCAGCTGCAGCAGCTGCGATGAAGGTTGCTAAGAGACCAGAGAATGCTGGAAAGCTTATTGCGGTAGGTCTAGTTGTAGTTATTAGTTCTTGTTTATTCCAGATGAGCATTTTTTTTACAAACTGTAGGCATATAGTTTGGGGGAAACACATAGTATAACGTCTTCTCTCTGCCAAGTCTGCTTTCAAAAACTTTCTAATCCTAAACAATTGCAGGTTGTTTTCCCTAGCTTTGGAGAGAGGTACCTGTCAACTGTACTTTTTCAATCAATTCGGGATGAATGTGAAAAGCAACAACCAGAGATATGAGCATATTCATCATGCAGTAATTTTCTGAACACAAATTAAATGATTTTGACAATCTTCTGTATACATTCCTTCTCCCTTTTGGGATTGTTATTTATTTATCCTAGTGGACAAGCCTTTAGTAGAATGATGACGGTCAGTAGTCATCACTATATTTTAAGTTTTGACCACATCCATCCTTTTGTTCTAAGTTTACAATTCAAATCTGTATGACCTCTGAAGCAAATCTCTGCATATTTTAAAGGTTGCTCAACTTGGGTAGTATGATGAATATAGCTACGGGTCAATGAAAATGCTCACGGTGACATTATGGCAAAAGAGAAGAAAAAAATAATCCATATTGGTTTTTGCAATCAGCTATCTTCAATCTTGATTTCATTTTCTTTTGGTGATTACAACTTTCCAATTTACGTTAGGTCTGTTTGTAACAGTTTCTGCTTTTAAAAAAGTGTTTTTTTAATGAAATGGGTAGAAGTGATTAAATAAAAGTTGATAGTGTTTGAGAAAAAAGTGATTTTGAAAAGTAAAAGTGGGTAGTGTTTGGTAAAATAAGTGCTTTTTATGTAATAGAAAAGGTAAAAGCACTTTTGACGCGGAAGCCGAGAAAAATAAAAGTTGTAGTGTTTGGGAAAATAAGTGCTTTTTTAAAGCCAAAAGCTGAGAAGTGCTTTTTTAAAAGCAGTTTCAAACCAACAGTTATGGTAGATCTGATGGATTAAGTAATGTCTTTTATAGAAAATACTATCAATTGTGGCCACAGAAATAGGGAGTGCATTTATTTGTTCCAAGAAATTCATCTAAAAGCAACACCATTCATAATCTTTAAAAATCTATATTTTCTAGCATTCTTACCTTTTAAATATTGTCATATAATTAATTTTTAAATAATTTCAAAATTCGTTTGTGCCTTCCAATCATCATCTTCAAATAATCCGCTTTTTTCTTGATCCTGCATTAGTGTATTACATATGCTTTTCAAATAATCTAAGATAATCTGGATTCATATTTTGATATCAGATTATTCTAGCATTAAATAATCTGTGTCACTCAATGACAATTGAAATGCCATGTCACTAATTTAATCCCTTAATAATCCAAGCAATGAGGATGTCCTAAATATAACATAAAAATTTGTGAAATTCCAAAAGGGTAGTATGATATTTTTACTTCTTAAACAAGATTAAGTAATGTAATGTAATGTTTGTAATGTACTGTTAGAATGTTTTTACTGGTACTGTAATTTGTCCAAGATCAGACTTGAATAGTTATAAAAATACAAAGAAACCAGACCAGACCAGCTCAGCAAATTACAGTCCAAGTAAAAATATCCTTACGGCATTAATTAAAGTTTTTGGTCTGTTAATGTAAAAAATATGTTAATAAAGTATCATGATGGGAGTAAGTTGCCCCTAGTTAGATAAAAAATTATTTTGAAATTTCATTATTTTTACTCGTATTCTGGAAATTTTCCAAAATCGTTGTGTCTATATCGACCTTAATGGAGACCTAACGTGTATGAACTAAGAGAGTGTTTGCGATTGCTTCTACTTTAAAAAAGTGTTTTTTTAAAGTGATTTTGGAAAAAGTGCTTTAATAGTAAAAGTTGGTAGTGTTTGAGAAAAAAATGATTCTGAAAAAGTAAAAATTAATAGTATTTGATAAAATAAGTGATTTCGGTGTAATAGAAAAAGTGAAAAAAGAATTTAAAACACCCTTCCACCTACCTCCTCTCCAAAAAGGAGTTCGCCAAAACTCGGGGTCTATATCATGCAGACACTTCTACCACATGACTTTCATTCGCTTAGCCCGTTCCTTTGTGGCTCGGCCAAGAGCAACTATGTCACCACAATCCAATCAACGTCAACGAGTAAAATATAAACAAATCTGATTAGAAAATATCATTTACTTGGCAAAAAAAACCATCAAAATTGCAAATTGACTAAATGTCCAGTCTCGAGCACCAGAAAATAACAGAAACAAAACAGACACCATAACAGGCAAGTACAAAATACAAATGAACTGTATCTACGAATCAGGCATTATAGCTCCATCCATCGCCAAGTAAACTTCAATCTTGATAGCAAGAACATGGAGGAACTTTTCGTCTTTACCACTCTATCCACTTTGCATTCTTGATAGCTAGCATATGTTTTCCACTTGGTGCACTCAGAGCTGCACGTCCCTATTATATATCCAACTAAAAGGAACAATGGGAGCTTGTTTGGCTCTCCCTTGAGATCTCGCCTCCAGTTTTCTGATTCTAGGAGGCAGCCCACACACATAGTCTTGAGCTTTTCTCCCTTCAGATGAAAGTCCTTCAAGACTTCCCACTTTCCATCTACCCACGAGAAACTCTAAGATGTCCGCATAGTCTCTAGCCGTGTAGACACCAAGCCTTTGAGCCACTGCTGAGAAGTGATCAAACAGATCATTATCCTGGCCATCATACATCAAGTGTGCAGGCATTGAGATTTTCTTCTTCATCATGTCCGCGAAAGCCACCACCGTCCCATCAGGATCAACCTCAAAGAGTTTTTCCACTATCTTGGTGTATGCAGTCTCATGGCGCTTCTCATCAGATGCAATTATGCCACAGACTTGAGCAAGTTTCAGGTCTCCATGCTCCTTTGCAAGCCTACCAGTGTTTCCATGGGATATAAATGTTGCCCTTTCTTGAAAGGATGTGTAGATGAACCCAAGGTAGGGATTGTTTTCGGTTCGAGGGTCCTAAAAAGAATTATGGCAAAGTAGTTGGTTCAGAAATACATAAAACACTCAAAATGATCACGTGCAAAGGAAAAGACTATTGAGGTGGAGGATACATGAGAGCAGACACTAAATATGTACTACAAAATAAGTCCTATTTGACCAGGCTACAACACTTAGTATGGTATAATTGCCATTAGTCATGGAGCATACTTATATAGTTATATGTGTGTAGATAAGCACACACATACATGGGTGCAGTGCAGTTTCAGTATGTACCATGAAAGTATCCATCCAATAAAAAACTGGATCTCAACAGTTCGATTCAGTATTATGATCATTATAGTGTTAAATTGATGTGTACATTGAAATCTGTGCATATTTAATTTTATAGTTGTAAAAAGGCACCGATACTGCTATCCATAAAAAGATTTTGATATGCATACATACATGATGCGTGCATATAGGGGGTTTTAGTCGGGGAGAACTTTCTTCCACCATTGGATTACTTTTAGGGGATGTTTGGATCCGTTTCATAAAACTGCTTCTTCTCCTTCAGGGAGCAAAAGCATATATTGTAGTGTTTGGGTGGAAGTGCATAAGTACTTCTGAGGGCTCAAAATTGCTACTTGAATTAGGTTTATAGAAGTTGGGGAGACCAGCTTTTCAAAAACTGATTCTACTTCTGCTTTTAAAATAGAAGCAGAAGCATAATCAAATCCAAACACCCCCTTAGATGCCAGCTCAAATAGGAAGGTAAGCACAACCAAAGGTGGGCAAGGCTACTCCAGAAATTATCGGTAAAGATAAACAAGAAGACTTCCCTATATGTGTGTGTGTTTAATATGTATGTGTGTACGTATGTATGTATGCATGTACGAGACAATGATCAGCAGAGACATTGAAAGATTCCTGAATGTTTGTATATAAAGTTCTTTTTCCCCTCTAACAGTGTGATAGAAGAGCTGATAGTTAATGAGTGATGGTAGACAAACTCAAAGTATGTGATACTTACCATTCCTGACCCAATCAAGTACTGGATTGTCTTCTCAATTGCTTTCATGTCAACTCTCCCAGAAAGGTAAAGATACTTATTCAGGAGGTCACCATGCCTATTCTCTTCAGCAGTCCAGGCCCTCGTCCAAACAGCCCAAGAGGTGAGGCTTGCCCCTGTTTCATCCCTAACACCGTCAAGGGTGTTGAGCATGGTTTGATAAGTTGGAAGAGCTTCTTCTGTGATCATATCTCCAACTAAAACAATAAAATATTCATCTGGAATCTCCCTAGCCCTCTCCCTAAGTTCCTTGACCTGATCATCAAAACCATCTGATGCTGGATCTGGTAGAAAATCCTGTGGTTGCCAACATTTTTCAACTGGCTTCAAATGAGTCAATATATTTTGCTCAGCCCAACCCTCTAAAGATTTGAATATCTCAATTTTCTGAGGTGGCATAGTGTGTGTGACTTGAACATGAACCTCGCGTGGTGGAGTAAAAGGCTTCTTCAGGTTCTCAACTTCCCTAATAAGCATATTGAAGAAGGTTAAGTTGGGGGTCAAGATGTGAACCATAATATGCTCTAAGCCTTAAACTTGATTAGGAATATTAGATATAGTCAATGAAGGTTGTGGTTGTTACCTTCAGCCACTTACATCTACAGCTCTTCTACCATAAGTTATGCTTTTAGTTTTTTAACATTAGAAAGACTAAGGGGTATGAAATTCATCCTACTCCATACTGACTCTAGAGCTGACATTAGTCTTCTTGCAAGAATGAAACATAGTCATAAAAAAACAAGCTGTGAACAAAATCAAGAGTTTAACAAGAAAGCCTCAAGCACAACCAGTCCAAAGTATCTAGCATGGGGTTCATGAAAAACGCTCGATCTGGGAATTAAAGGAATGAGGAACTGTTTGGGAAAATCAAAAGAAAACCCACTTCTAACATCAAAATTGTACGACTCCTTTCAAATAGACGGAGGAACAAATCCGGATGAAAAGAAAACGAGGAAGTTTCTTGACTTTCTTCTATTGAGAGCATCGTGCATCACAAACCAGAAATTAATAATTAGAAAGAGAGCGAATCAAATAGAACCCAAATCAAACCAAATGTGCGCAACTCCAGATCGGAGAGAACGCAAAAGAGACCAAATTTCTATGAAAGGAAACCAATCTAACAGAAAATCCATGAGAGGATACCAAATGCTCGCGAGAGCCCCGGTCAAAATCACTAAAAAGTAAATCAAGCAAGAAGAAGACTTTACTTTGTGCCAGAGGAGAGGGTTGAAGCCATATAAAACTTCGGAGATCTAAGGTTGCTCCTCGACATTGGTGGCAGAGCAAATGAGGAATACTTGTGAGACTGCAAGTTCAGGGAATTCAGCTTCAGAGCCATATTCTGCAAATTCTTCGTCTGCCTTTGTGATGAATGGAAAATGGGAAGCCTTTTAATTTGTGATTTCGTATGAATTCCAGGCTCTCCTTCCACCGCACAGAACGATGAGAAAGAGAAGAGGGACCGAATGTCAGAGAATGCAAAGTCCCGAAAAGGCAACGATTCTCAGGAGGGACAGCTATTCTCTGGTACGGACTTGAGGTTGTACTACGTATTTA